CTCCCTGCGAAAGTACCGCGGTCGGCAGCGGCAGTATCGCTTATAGCGTCAAGCGGTAGTACCGCTCTACTGCCGCCTTGATTTTGGGTCCTGCACTTTTCATGTCGGGTTTAGCAGTAGTTGCATGGCAGTAAGGCACGGTAGTTCCGCCTACCACCTATAAGCGGTAGTACCACTCCGGTCGGGCGGTAGTACCGCTTCTGCATTACTACCACCGTACTCTGCTCTGCCCTGCCTCTTTTGGTCCCGTGTTCTGCTCCTCCAGCGGTAGTATGGCTGGGGTGAGCGGTAGTACCTCTTATAAGCGGTACTACCGCCCCAAGGTTCATGTTTTGTTGCCCCTTTTCCCTGCTTCTTACGCCCGAGCGGTAGTACCGCTCGTGTGCGGGCTGAGCACATAACGGTTGGATCTTCCCCTTCCTATAAAAGGGGGTCTTCTTCCCCAATGAACCTTATCTCTTGGGCTCGTTTTCTCCCCCCTTTGTTGACCTTCTTCGAGCTTGCTAACTCTCAATCCCTCCATGGATTCTTGCTAGTTTTGGGGGGAAAGGAGAGAGGAGATCTAGATCCACATTTTCACCAATCACTTTCTCCTCTATGTGAGGGGAACCCCTTGGATCTAGATCTTGGAGTTCTTGGTGTTCTCCTTCTTGTTCTTTTTCTCATTTTCCTCCCTAGCATTAGTTGCTTTGGTGGGATTTGGGGGAGAAGGACTTGGGCACTCCGTGTGCCCTTGCCATTGCATTTGGTGCATCGGTTTGAGTTCTCCACGATGATACGTGGAAGTTACAAGTTGAGAAGCTTATTACTCTTGGGTGCTTGGTACCCTTGAGCTTGTTCCTCTTGGGTGCTTGGGCGCCCCAGACGGTTGGTGGTTTCGGAGCTCAATCATTGTGGTGCAAAACTCCGGGCAAGCGTCGGGGTCTCCAATTAGGTTGTGGAGATCGCCCCGAGCAATTTGACGGGTACCGGTGACCGCCCCCAAGGGTTGCCAAAGTGTACGGGTTCGGTGACCGCCCCCAAGGGTTGCCATTTGTACGGGTTCGGTGACCGCCCTTAAGGGTCCCTTAGTGGAATCACGACATCTTGCATTGTGCGAGGGCGTGAGGAGATTACGGTGGCCCTAGTGGCTTCTTGGGGAGCATTGTGCCTCCACACCGCTCCAAACGGAGATTAGCGTCCTCAAGGGTGTGAACTTCGGAATACATCGTCGTCTCCGCGTGCCTCGGTTATCTCGTACCCGAGCCCTTTACTTATGCACTTTACTTTGTGATAGCCATATTGTTTCTTGTCATATATCTTGCTATCACTTAGTTGTTTATCTTGCTTAGCATAAGTTGTTGGTGCACATAGGTGAGCCTAGTTGTTTTAGGTTTTGTGCTTGGCAAATTAACCGCTAGGTTTATTCCGTATTTGTTCAAGCCTAAACCGTATTTTTTTAAGAAGCACCTATTTACCCCCCCTCCCCTCCCCTCTAGGCGAGATCCTCGATCTTTTAGAGTGTATGGGCTAGAGCCCAGTGGGTGTAGTGGGCCGCTTGTGGCCAGCGTGTGTGTGTGTGGACTTGTACTTAAGCAGTGACCGCAAACGAAGATAGGCAGAAAATGAAATACGATCTGAATTCTGTCATTCCCTTCCCTTCTCTGCTCACCTACCTGCTTCCTCCCTCACTCCGATCCTCTTTTCTGTGCGATCGATCCTCTCCCTAGGGTTCATCGGTCATCACATGATGGTCATGCATCCCTTTTAGAATACGCATTTCGTGAATATGTGAAAAATGTACTGGGTTCTTCCTGTGAGCAGTAATGGGATTTCTAACTCATGAAAATAATTCAGATTTTATCCAGGAGCTCTACATGAAAGCTAGTTTCGGCCCATCACATTGTTTTCAGGTTGAGCCCCGCTTCGGTACATCCCCTTACTCAACATACCTTTGACAAATAGTACCCACTTTCGCTTGCATGGTGGGTCGCTAGCCGAAACGTATACGTACGTACGCTCAAGGAGTAGCGTCAAATAGACGCCAACTCATATTTGGCGCCTGTTATAGGCTCCAACCTGGATTGGCCCATTTACATTTTTCTTTCCTTTTTTTAAGCTTCAAAAAATATTGCGCCAGTTGGGATTCAAACTTGGAAGCAACAGGTTTAGTTCCAAGCGTAGTTAGCAGCTGGGACATATAACAGGTTGTGCTGTGAGTGTGGGCTTTTGGCGGGCAACCTCCATGAAAGTGGTTATTTTGAAAAATTAGACAATCACATTTTGGAGTTTCAAAAAATTCTGAAAAAAAATCTACACATTCATATGAATGTATTCAACATGTGTATAAATTCTACAATGAAATACATTGTGCTGAAAGCTACACAAAAAATAGAAAATATTGCATTTCTAATAGTGAACAGTGTGTGTACTGTTTATCAGTTTGAAACTCGTGATTTGTCTTTTTTTTGTAGCTCTCACCATAATTTATTTCGTCTTCAAAATTTATACACATTTAGAATACATCCATGTAAACATGAATGATTTTTATCAGATTTTTAAAAACTTTTAAATATATTTTCCGTTTTATTTCTCTAAAAACGACCTCCATGGAGGTCGACCGCCATTGGCATTTAGCAGCTATTCATAGTTCTACTTCTTCATCTTCTTGTTGTGTACAATTCTGGTTCAAGTTCTGCAAGGTTTTTCAGGGTGTTTTTTCTTTTGGTTTTTTGAAGCATGGTTTTCGCTTGGTTTTTCTCTTTCTTTTTCCTTTTTAGTTTTATTTTTTTGTCCTTTTTCATTTTTATTTTTCACAACCTTTCAATCGAATTTGCAAAGTTTTTAAAAAATTGTTTTTCAAATCTGCAATTGTTTTCCAAATTTGCGAACACTTTTCAAACTAGTGAACTTTTCTCAAATTCGTATCGTTTTCAATCCATGAACCTTTTCCAAATTGATGTTATTTTAAAAAAATTAACTCGTAACAATCTTCAAAGTCGCGAACTTTTTAAAATTTAACTCGCGAATACTTTACAAATTCATGAACTGTTTTTTAAGCTTGTGAACTTTTTTCAAATTTCATGATCTTTTTTCAAACCTAGCGGGCGAAGCGAGCGAGCTAGCGCAATATTAAACTTTTTTACAGACCCCACATTTGTCTTCTTTGCCAAGGGCTACTAAAATGTCCAAATGATCAGAAATTTGAAGAGGACCTCACACACCAAATTATCTACCATGCAATTTTTTTGAATTTATTGATTTTTTTAAGTATTTATTTTGAATTTTTTCTTCAGCGCAGGTGCAGATTAGTCTGGGCACCGAATCGCTGCTCTCTGAATTGACACTACAATATGGAAGTTGCAGTTATGGACAAATAACAACCAGTCAATACATGGCTGACAAATCATACGTACCCCACAGCACACACAAACATCCCATGGCATATCAGCGGCATGATCAGCATGTACAGCATTCTAAATGGGAACAAAGAAACAAACCTATCCTGCGGCCTGCTCCATGGAAATAAACAGCTCATGAAACAAAGCATTATAAATGAGTTTACAAAACCAGATGAATACATAGACCGGAGCTCCGCGGTCCTGACTCCTGAGATGTGATGAGATATACTCCTTTTTTTTTTCTGTCTGTTGCTGCATTATCAGTTTTTTCTCTTCTGGTTTTGCTTGACAGTTTCAGCACACAATGTAGAACTGGGACTGTGGCCTTTTTGCTATAAAAACCCGGGTGAATAAGTAATGGGGAGTGAGCTGTGTTGTCTTCCATTCCTTGGGCGCCCAATTCAGCGTGGTGTTATTAGTCATGTCACCTGAAGCACCATGAAGCAACTGACCAGGGTTCAGTGATCCTGATTCCTGAGACAGCACAGTTTTTAACTCCTTGGACGCCAGAATTTTGCACAGGCAGGGCGAAGATGCACGCTATCTGGAAGACAATATCCACATTAACAATTATAGAAAGTCAAAGCAGTAACACAGTAATTATGGAAAAGTCTGTGGATGTCAGAACTGACGGGGAATATATAGCAGGGGTTCCTCTCCTCGGGCAGAAGAACCATGAAGTTTAATTCCTTTCTGAATTATACAACAGTAATTATTGACAAGTCATGTGGATGTCATCTGTATATTATTATGGCAAGATGAAAATTGCCTGCAAGTTGAAGAGAAAATTTTCAAGTTAAGTAAGCAGTACAAACAGAGAAGAGTACTAATAAAAAGTTGTATTCGGTCATTCCAAGCCATGAAAGGTATGTCCCTTTACTTGGTTCTTGGATGCAAGTTCAGTTTCTAAAAGTTCTGAAGATTAGCTAGAACAAACACTGTGTATTATATGTTTCTGCCCTTGAAAACCTTAATACTCCCCCCTTTCTGGTTTATATAGGTCCTGCGTGTATCCAAGGTCGTCAATTTTATCAATGTAATGTGAATTGAATTGTATATCACAAAAGTTATACCATTAGAAAATATAACATTTGAAGTTTCTAATGGTATAATTTTTGTGGTGTATAACTCATATTACGTTGCTCAAATTGTCGATCTAGAGATACGTGTAGACCTTATAAACTGAAAGGAGGTAAGTAGTAAAAGGAGAAAAAAAAGTGTTAATGCTATAATCCATTTTGATTTGGGCACAGTAGGCTTGCAACACTTTGAAAAAAAAAGGCTCCTAGCCGCTTACCTCCTCTGCAGCACCTGGGACCAACAAGACAACCTCCAACACTAGTTGCACGGCCAGAGCGAACAAGTATGGAGTATATAGGGCAGAGCACCATGTATGTCTGACACCGGAGCAAAGATGGAGAGGTGTGCGGCGACGATGGCCTCAGAGGAGGAAGATGAGGGACCAGGGTCGTCGGTGCACACCTCCACCTCGTCGCGCCCTGACCAAAGGGCAGAGTGAGTCCATAATTTCCACCCTGTTCCTCTCCTACACTTGGCCAAGTGTTTCCCAGCTCTGCACAATTTTGTAGTACAACAGAACAGCACGTTGCTCCACAGTTTTTAACTCCTTGGACGCCAGAATTCGACTCTGGGGATGTGACGAATCTTGTGGGCATTCTCCCCTTCGCACCTGGCAACTAGACTTGGACATGCAACAATTTTGAGTACCTTCAAAGCAGAGAGATTCCGTATGCTTTCAGGCAAATATGTCAGGTTGGGAGAAAGGCCGATGATAAGTTCTTCTAGGCAAGTCAACTGTCCCAACCATTCCGGTAACATCTCCAGGCCATTGCACCCTAACAACGTCAGATCCGTAAGAGCGATGAGGTCCTTCATGCTTTCAGGCAAAGATGTTAGTTTGGGGCAATCGTCGATTAAAATTTCTTCTAGAGAACTTAACTGTCCCAACCATTCCGGCAGCATCTCCAGGCCTTTGCACTTTTTTAACTTCAGTTTTTTAAGAGCGGCAAGGTTCTTCATGCTTTCAGGCAAAGATGTCACATTGCAACAATCTCGGATGTCAAAGACTTGTAGCGAACCCAGGTGGCCTAACCATGTCGGGAGTGTCTCCAGGTCCTTCAACGACCATAAATGTAGTCCAGTGAGAGAGGTGAAGCATAGGATGACCTCTGACAAAGTCCGGAAACCACTGACGGAGTCTAAATGAAATATCTCAAGTGAAGGAAAGTATTGAAGTCTATCCCACTTGTCTTCAGTGAAACTACAATGCTTTAGAATCACCTTAGAAGGGCGAACGGAAGACGAGAGTTTTCCAAATCCCCGTTCTGGCAAAACTGTCTCGCTGTTGCTCAAAGCCCAAATCATACTTCTTGGGGGATATGGTAGAAACTTCAACCTTGGGCAGTCCAGTACCTCCAAAAGATGCAAATTAGGGATAAGAAACTCTTCGTTTTCTGTACTTGACTCTGTTGTCCACCATTCCACCAAATTCTCCATCGACACCAATATCAGCACTCTTAGTTTCATACAAGTTCTGCCATCTCCGTAGAATTCCTTACCGACTTTCCTAATGTTGGGAATGTTCCTCACACACAGCCTTCTTAAATTTGGCAGTGCCCCGAATGGAGGAAGACAATCACATGCTTCCAAACCATGAAGGGTCAGTTCACTGAGAAAAGGGAGGTAGGACGAGATGTGCAACATCCAGTCAGGGAAATCCTTGCTCCTATACCCAAGTAACCAAAAGTTTTCAAGAGTCCGAGGAGGTATGAGCCTGTCCAGCACAGATTCAGCTCCTTCACTTTCCCACTGAAGTTTTAGTGCTCGAATATCTGATTTATCACGCAGTTTGACTCTGTCTGCATCTTCTGGACGCTTGACATTCTGAAGGCCTCTAAGTAACAGATCTGAACAAGTCAATCCTGCAAGATCCACTATACTGCTGCATCCTCTACTCTCTATCTCATGTACCTGATGCACTATTGTGCCCACAAGATTTAGACGCTTTCGAATGGCTAGAACCTTTTCAAGCAAATTAGAAGTTGCACTGTCAACCACCAACTGGGTGAGACTAGTCATGTCGCCAATGCTATCAGGGCAGTTATACATTTTTGGAAGGCCATTCATGTGCAGTATTTGAAGCTTAAGGTCACCAAATGAGGAGGGGAGCTCACTGAGCCCTAGACAGTATGACAAATAGAGACACCTCAACTTAAACAACTTGCATAGCGACTCAGGCAATTGTTGGATCTTAGGACAATTTGTTAGGTTCAAATATTGAAGCTCATAGAGGTGATCAAAACATTCAGGGAGTTCTTCAAGGTTATGACAATCTGAAAGATCTAGGTATTTCAAGTGATTAAGTTGGCAGAATGATCCTGGCAGCATTGAAACCTTGTAGCAACCAGAGAGGTTCAGGAACTCAAGTTTCCGAATGTGGCCGAAATCAGTTGGCAGGTTTTCTAGCTCATGGCAACTTGATAGGTTCAGATGTTCTAAGCATGGAAAGCTAACATTGTCAGGTAGTTTGGTGAGCTTTGAACAACTCGACAAGTTTAAGAATGAGAGTTTAAGAAGGCTACCAAATTCATCAGGGAGCTTTTGAAGACCACAACAGCCTGACATATCTAGGTGATGCAAGCATTTAAGCTTGCAAATTGATTCAGGCAATTCTTGCAGTGTACAACACCCGGATAGATTGAGAAAAAAGAGTTGAGAGAGTTCTCCTAGCGGTGCAGGTAGCTTACTGAGGCTGCTACTGAAAGATAGGTCCAAATAGCAAAGTTTGTTGAGGCGACAAATACTGTCAGGCAAGGTTTGAAGCAAGGAATTGGACAGAATAAGAGTTTCCATGTTTTGAAGTGCATGAAAATGCTTAGGAAGTGATTTTATTGGCAAGCCTGTGGCATCAATATACCTAATTAGCTTCAATTGATTAATTGAAGATGGCAGCACCACACTCCTTGGAGCAGATTGGCCTTTAGCTGAATGCCCACTTAGGTCCAAGACACGTAAGTACTTGGATCGAGAAAATGCCTTTTTCGGGAGTTGCAGTACCCCCAAATCCCTGAAGTGGAGGGACCTAAGCTTGCGTGGAATATATTTGAAAACCTTGGGATCATTCTTAAAGTTGGTTAACTGTGCATGTCGGCAGTAACGAGCTTTGTTCCAGCTGGTGCTTTTGGTAGCATCCAGATCAATAAATTCATCAGCAGCAATTATTGATGCAAGATCATGAACCAAATCATGCATGACGAGATCTGGAGGAGCTTTGAGATGCAATGGACTTGGACTGACCTGCAGAGGTAACTACTATCAATATAGTATTGCAAATGGAAATGTAGAACCCCTTGAGAATAGGAAATGTTAAAATGGAGTTAAGAGTTGCAATTTCCTCAAAATCTGTGGAGCCCTTATACAGAATAATTTTCCTACACACAATTATTTTTACTAGAAACCATGGATTTTCATAAATTGTTTTTATGGCATTAAAATTTGGATAAGAACAGAGCACGTAAAGCTAATAAAGCATATGTTATATACAAAGAATATTCATACATATTTCTCTAGATATGTTTTATGATATTTTTTATTTCTTTGTATGTCAAGTTTGATATGTTTACTAACTAGTTCAACAAGTTTCAACTAATTTGAAATTATACGTAACTTGCTTACTAACTATAAATTATGAAGATGAGTGACTATTGAAGGGTGATTATTAAAGGAACCACCCCCTGCCGCTCACTAGGGGAAGTCCACACATGCACCGACTTCCCACCGCCGTTATCACCAACGGCGCCTCCACTACAGTCATGCTGCCCCCCCTGACATGTGGGCCTGCCATTGAAACACTCAAGGCCTAAACCAATATCCCTTCCCCGAAGCTCAGCCTCCATGTTACCTCAACCCCTCCCAAAAGCCGGCCGCCAACCACCTACAACTCTCTCCTCCCCTATTCTCCACGCGACCACGCCACGACTCAATGTCGTCACCTCCACCAGTACCTCCACTCACCACTTCGACAGCTGCCGCTAGCCCAACACTGGGATGGTGCTCCAACAACCCCACGCCCCACCTCTAGCAAATGATATCTTGTGGTTTGATACTCTACCAAGCGAAGTTAGAGTTCAAAAGCCTATTTTCTAAATTTATTGAACTAATATACATGTAGGGTGTTGTACGGAGAGAAATGTATCTTCCTTTCCTAAGTAAGTGCCGGGTCGCAAAAGGAATGCCACAAATTCTTAAGAGCAAAGGATAACACCATGCACATAATATGGTGGACTCTAACTAGGATTAAATCATCAATATGTCATATTAGTATAGGGGTCCATAGCAAGAATATAAAAAAACATATATGACATATCCGATTCAAAATCAATAAAAAATAAATTATTTAGATTAATAGATTGAATAAAAATTAGATTTTAATTTTGTGGCATATAATCTAGATATTAGATCCAGGAAGCAAAGGACAAGAATCTAAAACTAAAAGAATATATAAACCTGACATGAGTCAAAAACAGAAAGTACAAAACTGAACTTATCAGTGCTAATAACAAATTAAAATTTAGAGATGGATATACTAAGTCACCAACATAAATTAAAAATCAGAGTGTAGGACCTAATCTAGAACCATAACAGAGTATAATTTATGAAAGCTTGTCCATAACAGAGTATAAAGAAACAAAAAACATAGTAGTAAAAATGAACCAGCCATATAAGAGAAATTATGTCTATAGGTACTAACCGAAGCGGATCCTGGAATCCGAAGAAAGGACATCCCTAGAAGGTAGTTGATACACCTTTGGCCATCGTAGCCGGACAAATGTATCCAAGTGCATTCCATTGCTGGATTAGACGATTTCTGTCCATGACAAAGCCCTTGGGGAAGGCTGCCAAGTACGTGAAACACATTTTGAATTCTAGCTTCATGTAGTAATAGCTCAGCATTAGCCTCTCTAATGTTTCTTTCTGATGTCCTTCTCTCAAACCCAAATCAACCTTGGTGTCTCTTATATCTTCCCATGCCCCCGCGGTCTTTATGTCCGACATTACTTGCCCAAGAGCATTTGCCACGAGCGGTAAACCCCCACACTTTGCTGCAATCTGCTTTCCAATTTCTTCCAAGCCACTGTGGTCATCATCAGGCCCAAATGCCCTTCGTTTTATTAATTCCCAACAGTCACCAGGTTCTAAAACACCCAAATCGATTATGTCAGACTCAGGAACTGGGACAATTTTCCTCTCATTTGTAAGAAAACCAGTGCGCAATTGTTGCACTACCCGCAGGTTTCGTGTAGTTACTATAATACGACTACCCTTGTGGCCATGCTGTAACATCTCCTTCAACCTTTCAAGATTATCTCCATCTTCTTCCCAGAGATCATCCAGAACAATCAAGTATCTTCTAGTAGAAAGTTCTTTTTTCAGATGAAATTGCAAATCGCAGTTGTCAAGGTTAATAGTGCTATTCATAATGCTTCTCAGGATTGCACTCCCAATTTTGTGCAAATCAAACTGCTTGGACACATTAACCCAGATCGAGATGTCGAAGACACCGACCCTCTTGTCTGCAAAAACCGATTCAGCCAATGTCGTCTTGCCTATGCCGCCAAGGCCAACAACTGGGATGATGGAGATATCCTTGTTAGCTTCTTCACTTGTGAGTAGCAGGCTGATTATCTTTTCCTTCTCGACACCCCTCCCCACCATTCCAGTTTTCATGCCATGACCATTCCAGTTGGCTGCGAAAGTTTCATTGTTTCTGTTCCCTTCTCCCCTTGATTCTAGAGGCACAAGACTGAGCCTCCTCCTGCCCTCCTTCTCAATTTCGTCTATTTTCTTGGTCACTTTCTTCATCTTGTGGGGCATGGTTATTCGCTGCAGGAATTGATTGTTCCTGGAAAAACACAAATTGACCTGCAAAAACAAAAGGTGAAGTCAACTTCAGTCCCCTGCACGTTTAATTAGTTACTCAAAAATAGACAAAATCAAAGAGATCACTATCTTACTTTCTACTATAGATTAGATAAAGAAGAATCAAACATCTTAATGAATTCCTTCGGTTTGCTCTCTTTTTTTAGAAGATTCAGGTTTTTTTTTTGGAAGATTCAGATTCCTTCACCCAGGCAGAGCCAACTAACTGTACGAGAGAGACAGATGTGCCAGTACAAAAGCAGAAAAATACGGATTAATTAGCCTCCGGAGGCCTCTAGACCCGCCACCCGGAACCACCCATCCCTCGCCGCCAGCACCAGGATCGGCGAGATGGTGCTGGGATCGAGGATCTACCAGAACGCCGCCGCAGCAGGGAGATGGAAAGAAAAATTGTATGGTGTGTGGAGAGGAGAAGAGGGGGAAAGCAGAGGAGCTACCTTGGATTGGGTCTTGCTGATGAGCTCATTGGCGTCCAGCTCGTCCAGCACATCCTCGACGTCGTAGGCGACGCGCTTAAACTTGGTAAGCCACCGCTGGAACACCCTTCCGCCCTCGCCTCCTCGGCGCGACCTCTCGTCGGCGTCGCCCAGCACGGCCTCCAGATCTTTCATCTTCTCCGCCATCTCTAGCACGTCCTCCCGGTACCTCCACTGCAGAGTGATCTCCGCCGCGGCGTATTCGCCTCCGGCAAACAGCTTGCCGACGATCTGTTTCGCCACGGCGCCCGCAATCACACCCCCGAGCCCGCTCATCGCCATGGCTCCCTCCCCAGCCAACCCAAGCTACTGCTCTCCTCCCTCTGAACCCACGAGAAGAGAATGGAGTTCTGCTGCTGCTGCTGCTGTGTGTGCAGTGTAGAGACAAATGGTGAAAAGGGCCTGTCTTTAGTTTTCTATATCTTTCCGGGTGTTTGTATCACTGGAAATTTACTAATAGATCTGGGGCTTTTTGCAAAAACAAACGACTGACCTTTTCATTTCACAAGCATAACCATGGACTGAGCGTCCTCCTTTTCTTCACAAGCACAAACATAGTTGCCAACTTATTGTATGGGGCATCACCACTTTAATTATTCAACCAAAAACATAAGTTGGGATACATGCAATATCTGAGCAGGTGGCGCCTCACATCAAGTGATAAACTGGCCTTAGCTAAATTATGAGCTTTCCTATTAGCTTCTCTAGGTTCAAACTTCACATGACCTAATTCAAACCTACCAATCCAGTATTTGAATGTCGTTTATGATTATTGAACTTGGACCTCCGTACTCTGCCTCCAGATGATTCACCGTTGATTTACAATCTGTCGCCACCTGAATCTTCTGAATATGTAAACCCAGAGCCAGCACAAGAGAACGACCATGGTTTCTAGTACTTCCGACTCGATAATTCCCCGCACAGCAGCGGACGTGGCATCCCGTGCTTTGCAAATAGTTTCTCAAGACCAACCCTCATTTATGAAAGTCAAACTAAGAGCATCTACAATCATACGTCTCAAATCGGTATCAAACTCCCGACAAACCAATCATTGACCAGTTAAAAAAAGCAAGTTGAACTCCTCAAACCGGGCCCAAATGCCCAGGTTGTCCGACACTCCTCATATACAGCCTAAATCTATGACGGATATGGACGTGTCCGCCACATCAAGTCGGCCCATGCTAGCTCACCATGACCCTTCTTCGTCCCTACTAAAAACCTCACCTGGAGAGCAAACAGCTCCACTTCGTTGTCGCTCCGTTCTCCACCAATTTGTTCCCCTCCCCATCTCCGTCCACCATGTCCAGCACCGGTAGTCACTTTGGCGAATACGGCGGCGAGTGTGTAACGCCCCGGTCATAGCCACCGGTTTTTGGCCGTTACGCCTGGCGGGATCTAGACTGGCCTCACAGATCAACATTAGTCTTTCCTACACACTTTGTCCTCTCGTGCGCACCCGGGGTTGGTATCATGGATTAGGGCGTGCTAGCCATGTCGGCCCGCTGGTCATGGGCCAGGCGAGGACCCACCGAAGATTGATGAATGGGCCACGCAGACCCTGGCCTTCGGCGTAATCAAGATGAAAATCTCATGGAGGCTTGGCGTACACTTCAAGCGTATTTGAAAGATCACCATGTTTATCCCTAGATTGAAACAAACCATGTGGAAACCCTAGATACCCCAGTGCCTATATAAGCCCTGGGGTTTAGTCCGTAGAGGCATGCATATGCACTTTTATAGCTTAGAACATCTTCATACGTTCTCAAGGTAGATCATCATGTAACTTGCACCCCATCACAATCAATATATAATAAGTAGGACGTAGGGTTTACCTCATCAAGAAGGCTCGAATCTAGGTAAAACATAGTGTCCCTACTTCTCTTGTTACCATCTGACTCAGATCACCAAGCTTAGGACCCCCTACCCGAGATTTTCCGGTTTTAGCATTGACATTGGTGGCCCATGCAGGTCCCATCGTATGATCACGTGGGCGAAGTTTCACCTGATCATCAAATCCGTTCCGACATCTCACCCAAGCCGGCCACTCACGGCTTTGGGTTAACTGAGCACCCGAGTGACGAGTGATATTTTTCCACTCATTTCAACATTGTTTAAACTGAGATATTTCATTCAAAGAGAGATATTTGAAGGAAATATGCCCTAGAGGCAATAATAAAGTTGTTGTTTATATTTCCTTATATCATGATAAATGTTTATTATTCATGCTAGAATTGTATTAACCGGAAGCTTAGTACATGTGTGAATACATAGACAAACAGAATGTCAATAGTATGCCTCTACTTGACTAGCTTGTTGAATCAATGATGGTTATGTTTCCTAACCATAGACATGAGTTGTCACTTGATTAACGAGATCACATCATTAGAGAATGATGTGATTGACTTGACCCATCTGTTAGCTTAGCACGATGATCATTTAGTTTGTTGCTATTGCTTTCTTCATAACTTATACATGTTCCTATGACTATGAGATCATGCAACTCCCGAATACCGGAGGAACACTTTGTGTGCTACCAAACGTCACAACGTAACTGGGTGATTATAAAGGTGTTCTACAAGTGTCTCCGATGGTGTTTGTTGAGTTGGCATAGATCGAGATTAGGATTTGTCACTCCGATTGTCGGAGAGGTATCTCTGGGCCCTCACGGTAATGCACATCAATATAAGCCTTGCAAGCAATGTGACTAATGAGTTAGTTGCGGGATGATGCATTACGGAACGAGTAAAGAGACTTGCCGGTAACGAGATTGAACTAGGTATTGAGATACCGACGATCAAATCTCGGGCAAGTAACATACTGATGACAAAGGGAACAACGTATATCGTTATGCAGTTTGACCGATAAAGATCTTCGTAGAATATGTGGGAACCAATATGAACATCCATGTTCCCTATTGGTTATTGATCGGAGACGTGTCTCGGTCATGTCTACATAGTTCTCGAACCCATAGGGTCCGCACGCTTAACATTCGGTGACGATCGGTATTATGAGTTTATGTGTTTTTGATGTACCGCAGGTAGTTCGGAGTCCCAGATGTGATCACGGACATGAAGAGGAGTCTCGAAATGGTCGATACATAAAGATTGATATATTGGATGACTATATTCGGACGTCGGATGAGTTCCGGGGGTCACCGGATAATTATTGGAGTGCCGGGGGGTTATCGGAACCCCCGGGGGAACTAATGGGCCAACATGGGACTTGTGTGTGAGAGAGGAGGGGCCAAGGAGGGGGCCGCGCCCCCTCTTTCCCTCCCTCTCTCCCTCCTCCTTCCTCCCCTCTCCCTCCTCGCGCCCCAAGGCCGGCCGGCCTCCCCCTTGCTCCTTTATATACGGGGGCAGGGGCACCCTAGGACACACAAGTTGATTGTTTCCGGCCGTGTGCGGTGCCCCCTCCACCATAATCCACCTCG